TAATAACACTCAGCGCAAACTCATAAACAACTTCACTCTAATAATAGTCAATATCGAAAACCAGCCCAATAAACAAAGCGAATTTCCTCTTCTTCATGGCGATCGTTCCCTGGATTGGTATTCCGTACAAGCTCAACAGATTGTTCAGACCGGCCGCTGAAAATACGACCCGGTTTAGCATAAAAACATTCGACAACTGCCTTTCGGGGAATTGAAAGGGGAACGTACTATTCAGCCTCCTAATGTCTCCTGCCATTCTCGGAAACGATAACGGGATCTCATTCCCCAAATCATATAGTGGCTCCAGAGAGGTTGTGTGGTCCCTGACTCCACTGTTCATGGTTCTTGCGTAGACGTTATGGTCTCTGGAGCCCACATTGTTAGCTCAGATCCTTTAAAAAGAAAAAAAAAAAGGTACAACAGGAGAAACCCATCCACTGACCGACTTCTCGTATTGACAACTATTTCTTCGCATCTCTTCTCTAATCTCCTAATGTTGAAGCTCAACGTTTCGATGGCTCCCATTAACGTTTCGCGATCCCCGGAAAGTCTATCAAGGCTTTGCTGTACGGTCTGGACACAGGCCAAGATTGGATCATTGTATTCTATACGAGCGGGGGGAGGTCCAGGGGGAGCGGCTGGAGGTTCAGTCGTAGGAGCAGCTAGAGGATAGGGTAGTGGAGGAGCCTGAGGATTGTCTGGAAGAGAATCTCGTGTATCGTGTAAAGAGAATGGTAGGGAGCCTCCAGGACACTGCTCAGGAGGATTGTCTGGAGTAGGAGTTGGAAGAGTTCCTGTGGGTGTTGGCGTGCCCCCTGGATTAGAATCTGGCGAGTTGGTTGGTCTGGTGATTGAAGGGCTAGATGCAAGAAGAGCTTCCGGAGAAGCTTGGGAAGGAACTAAGGCTGTTGAGACGCTTGACTCTACGACGATGCTCGCCTCAGTGTCATCCAATCTAGAGGCAGAAGCTCCCTCTACCCAAGTTATGGGAGTGAGAGTGAGCTTTCCTACCCAATTCTCAGAATGGAAATATGGACCGCTCATAATCTAAGTTATGCACCGGGAGAGATGGGGGGAAAGTTGCAGTTGAGGGGGTATGGAAGGTAGGAAATATCTATGGAAGTACTACACTACAAGCGGTAGAAGCTTAAGAGGTTATGAGGGGTACGTGGCATAGTCTTCCATAGCAACGCGGGCAATGAGGAATGCTCTCGTGTTAGCCTTCATGTGAAGTCACTCGTTAAAAGATTGTAAGGTCCTCTAGCCAAGTCAAATCATTGTCGATGTCATAGAGTGCAAGCACAACGCATCCAAAGCAGCTAAGACAGGTAAATTAGCTTGACACCCTCTCAACATGCCACAGTAATCCCGAAGGTAAGTTACCTAGCCCTATACCTTCGCGGAACAGGACCGGAATCAGTATACCCGGAGTCGCAATCTTCAAATAGACATTTTCAGTAACCTAGTCCAGCGACACAGGCGCACGACTCCTCGCTCGAGCATATGCCTTGATGGACCCTTGTGTCTGCCTACTCGTTATGTATCTGTCTAGCTATTTTAGTAAATCTGCCGCCAGTCGTCCCACATAATAGCCCGAGATGATACGGCTTGGCCAGTGGTACAAATACTAGCTAGCTAGTTAGAGATGCTCTTTTTGTCAAGTTACTTCAACTAGTCGACTCTACCCACGCAACTTGATCCAAAACAGCATCGATACTAGGCTACAATAGTTGAACACCGGGTACACATCCAAGCATGGCGTTCCTCACTCAAAGCAAGGAATCCACCGGGCAATGACCCAAGAACCTTACCGCACCTTGTGAATCCGCTTGGGGACCTCAACTCTCCTCCTCCTACAGCCAGCTCCCACCGATAATACCGACACCGACACCAGCACCCTCTTAGCGGCGGCTTATCCCGTCGAGCTCCCTCTAAAAACTCCGACCGGGCCGGACACTTCCCGTACTGGTACTGTACAAGTACGAGTACTCCCTAAAACTACCCGACCCCTCGGCCGGGCCGCAAGATCGACAGAATAGTACCGTCCCCGCCCAAATCCACCCTCCCTCCTACCGGCAATCGTCAGAATACCAGGCACCAACAAGCCAGCCACGGCAGCGGTGGTGGCGGTACCGAACATGCGAACACTTCGTGATCGGAAGCACGTGTATGCCGACGGCTGCAAGGGGTGCACTGGGCACTCGAGTATCGCTCGGAGATTGTCGGGGTGATGCGGTACTTTTTGCTGGCTTGGGGTTTGCAAGGGGCTTTGCATGCATGGTTCATAGCTCCTCAATGCTGATACTCAGGTACAGTACAGTGCAACGGAGGGGAATTCTGTTGTGCACAGTACGAGTACTGAACTGTGCAGTGCACGAGCTCCCGACGGGAAAATTAGCTTCAGTGATAAATTGTGATAGCAGTAGTTGAGTGCTTTTCCAGGTGGAAGAAGAGCAGTAACACAAGCAGAACCCCTTCCAAACTGCACTTTCACCGAAACTCACTGCGCTTTTATACGCCTCGTCGCTATAACCCCCCCTCCTACCCCCCCGAAATTCGAAACCCCAGAACCTCCCAAGACCCTCAACCGAGCTTTCACAGGCCCCCTCTTCCCCTATATCACCCCGCCAACGCGAATATCGTGAATAAATACTCCAAAACAGCACAAGAACCCCGCTTAGTACCTGTACATCTCCACAACCATACCAATCCACCCCTCAAATTCCTACCACATAAACCAACCAAACGAATTCACCAAAATGGCGACCCCCCCTACCATCACCACCAAAAACCTAACCGGAAAATTCTTCATGGTCTTCCCCTCCCCCTCCTATTGCCCCCAACTAACTCCGACTAACTCCAACAAACAAGAACAAAACCCTCTCCGATGACCTTGACGATGTCCTGACAGAGCAAGGCATAGGCTGGTTCACCCGCAGGTTAATCTCCGTGGCGGCTATAACGCTCGACATAAAGCATTACGTCGAAGACGACATGGAACACATCGACATCGAGCAGACCGCGACTGGCGGTATCAAGGGGACCACCGAGAATCGAATCCTGGACTGGAAGTGAGTGCCCTGCCGCGAAGCTGCGGGAATATACTAATGCAGAATGGGAGATGTGTAGGGAGAGGCCGCATGAAGACCACCTCTTTGGCAAGCTCATTGCACAGAGCCGCAGGACTAATCTTGAGGATGTGCAGGATGAGTTCTTGAAGAAGGATTGGTTGGAGGGCGAGGCGAGGGAGGATGGACTCATCGAGGCTTTTGCAGTTAGTGAAAATGGGTGGAATGCGCGTCAGGTTTGTTCCTCCCACCTTCGCGGCTGGCGGCGGCTTTGCTCCTGGGGACGGGCTAATTGTGGGGTCAAATAACTGTAGGTTTGGGGATTTGAAGAGTTTGATGGGAAGAGGCATTATTCTCGCCATCTTAGGTTCGAGAAGGGTGATAAGACATTGTTCAAGAAGATGGTTTACGATTACTTTGAGTAGGTTGGGGGAGGTGCTGTTTTTCGCTTCTTTTGCTGCTGCCTTTCTTCTAGTCTACTCTATAGTAGCTATATATAGGTATAATAGAAACCTTGAGTAGTTCTCATCTTGGAGTATTCTTGCATCGCGGAGAAAATATTCGTGAATTGCATTGAACGGTATGCTGTATGATATGACTTTATCTGTTATCAGAATAGAAATTCGCCTCCCAGAAAAACTGTTCTCGCGAGGATTGTGGGTGGATAGTGCATCCACGAGCTCAGTAACAAACAGACGCCCGTATCATGCATGCAGACAAACCCCAAAAACCATGGATCCGAACAAAGAGTAGAACCAGCAAGTCAAAAAAATCATCAATAATTAATAACCCCCTTCAAAATCCACACCTGTCCATTCGAAGCCTCATTCATTCGCTCCTCAACCTCGATACCGTCCGGGAAAATCTGCAGCCCGTTATTACCCCCCCCCCACTGAAAAGACAAGCGAGAGAGAACACAAACCTTCTTAACACCCCCCTCCCACGTCCACCACACCACTTTTCCGGCCAAAGTCTCCACCTTAACCCCCTCCCCCCAAGGATTCTCCGCAAGACAGTGCGCCTCGACAAACCTCCTCAGGTTCCTTCCCGCACGATCTTCCCCACCCAAGCCCTTATATATCTCGCTGAGCACGTTGCCACCAGCACCCTCATCGTCCGGACTCTCCCAAGGCTTCCGCGGCAGCTTCGAGATGGCGTAGTTCGTGGGTGCGAGAACGGTGGTGTTTTTTTCGCGGTCGGAGACGCGCGTCGAGATTGATTCGACGGAGCGGGTAAAGCCACTGAAGACTGAGATAGATTTGTCAAGTGGGAGGACGTCGGCTAGGAGTGGAGGACCGGGGGGTTTGCCAATTGTTGTGCTGGTGGACATGCTGGTTTGATACTGGTCTGGGTGGTGATCTTCTAGTTGTTGGTTGGAGGGGTAGAGGAGTGGGTGGAGGAGCTGGGATGTGGTTGTTGTTGCGAGTGTTAGGAAGAGAAGTGAGAGCTTCATAGTTTTCCTCAGTGATGGGTGGGTGAGGTTGGTGAGGTGAAGCTTTCTTTTTGAGTGAACGGGGGATCCGATCTTTTGTTGGTAGGCGCTGTGGTGTGACGTATTGGTAAATTTATTATGATACCTGCATCCAAGCAGGCCTTGGGCCGGGTAAACTCGGTCAGCTTGCTCAGTTGACGACGGAGCTGACGCTTTCCCTCGTAAGAAGGCGAAAAGTAAGAAGGCGAAAAAGGTGCAAAACCCAGAGCCAGAGAAGGAGATAATAATATTATCGAGAAGAGAGAATAGCTCTTGAAGATCCTTAGTCTCATAGCTGGAGCACCAATCGGCCCATTTCTAGAAAGTCAGTTGGATGACTCAGGGTTAACTTAGGGTTCATTCAAACCCAATCTTGTTCCAACCAACCACCACCCGAAACAAAACAAAAAAGAAAACAATCCCCAAAATCCATCACCGCCCCACCATCCATCACCCCACATAGCCACCAGCCAAGGACCAAAAATGCAAATACCACTATCAAGAACACTCCCGCGTCTCTTGCGGTTACCACTACTCCTTCCCCGCCCACCACCGCCAAAAATGCAACTCAGTCAATCCTCATGGCGAGCCTACACAACCCCGGTCCTCGCCAAACCCACAAAATTCACACCGCCCTCTCACCCCCCGTCCCCGCTCCGCACCCGGGACCCTATGAACTACCCTGGTCCTCCGACTCACCGAGACCCAACAAAACGCTACCCAAACACCATGCCGCCGCCAAACACCTGGTCTCACTACTTCCTCACCTCGCGATCCCTACACTTCTACATTTCTATCTCCGTCCTGCTAGTCCTAGGGACCTGGGCTTCCGTGACAAATTTCCTCCGCACGACGGAGAGGGGTAGGGAGGTTGAGGGTGAATTATCATGGAGTCAACCACTGGATTCCGTGAAGCGGTTCTTGGAGGCGTATAAGTTGCACGCGCACGAGCGGAGTTTGTTGGTTGCGGAGATCAGGAGGAGAAAGGTTGAGGATGTGGATAAGAGGGTGGCGTATAGGCGGGCGCATGGGCTGGAACAGGCGAGGGCGGAGGGGGAATTCAGTGGGCGGGGGGTTAAGCCCGGGGCGGAGCGGGAAGAAGCGGGTAGGGCTCTCAGGAGGCTGGATGCGGTCGTGGGAGTGGAGGAAAGCCCCACTGGTGGGAAGGGGAGCTGGGTGGAGGAGGAGATTCGGAGGGCTGAGGAGGAGGTGGAGAAGGCTATTGCTGCTGGAGTTGCGGCTGGGGCTGGGACTGCTGGAAAGGCTATGGAGGGGGTGGTCGCACCTCAGGAGGCTAAAGAGGAGAAAGGGAAGCGGTCTTGGTGGTCGAAGAGTTGAAGCATTGAACGTTGAGTGGGGTAGGATGTGTGCATATGTGAGGCTTCTCTGTAAATTATTTGCTGCTATGATATACATCAACCGAGTAGTGCGCTGTAAGTATATATCATACAAGAGGTACAAACCCTCATAGGACACCTCAGTATGATAAACACTATGGAGACCAATAGACTAAGCAGACGGCTTCCTACAAGAACACCATAAGTAGCCAACAATTGCGGAACATCTCGACAGCGAACACATTAAGGCTCAATCGATCAATAGCTCTAGCTTTACCTCCTCGTAGGTACCCCCATAACCATCAAAACATTGCTGCATTCACTCGGTCCGGGGTGTCTGCAGTCCGTTAGCTGAGTTTAGATATCAGGGCAACCACACATATGATATATGACATCACATCATATCTTACTGTTTGATCAGTTTGGAATAGGTTTGGGGTAAACCCTAGGAGTGCTCAGCATCTAGAGTTTCCTGTAAGTTATATATAACTGGGTATCATACCTTCCCACTTTTTCTCCAGAAGCAACCAACAAACACTCACTCCATCCTTCCGTACATCCTTCTTCTATCCTACCACACTTCCCACACCCATCAGGTTATGACCCGCTGCGCATCACATACTCTACACAAAACAGAAATCATGGTCAAGGTCTTAAAAGATCGGTTAACAACACCACAGTACCTCTTGGATTGTCTGTTTCTGGCTGTTTGACTCTTATTCTTTGGTTCCTCTCTCAATGGCTACACAATCATGGCTGACATTCATGATTTTACTTAACTACCCCCCCTGTTCGCCAATAGCAACTTGATCTATAGGGGCAACACATGCCTGATTAGCTTAAAGAATTGGAAATGTGGTAGATTGTTTCGGCTTGAGAAGAATTTTCAGATAAAAAGTACGGATTCAAAAATTATCAGTATTTACAATAAGTTACGAATGGAAATATTTTTATCCTACAGAAAAGCCTCAGAGCACGATGGAGCCACATATGTGTTCAGTATGTCTCAGATATCAAGACAGAAGTTCCAAGTTCCGAAAGCTATCGGAAAGCCATTCGTAGTAGGAGAAGACAGCCGACAGACAGTTAGAGAATAGGGAAACTACTCTGGTAGGGGCTCCAGGACTCCGTGGGTAAGCTGCCGCAACTAATTGGGGTAATGTTGACATCTAACAAGGTAGAACCGGGCCCACGAAGGGGAACAGGATGGGGCATCCAACCCGATAACTGGCCGTTCACAACTGTGAACCGGTGAAACGCCGCTCAAAGTATTTAAATCCTAACTGGGTCTGGCCTGGGTCTGGAGGGGGGGGCTCTACTAGTATCATATTATGTGCTATGGCAGTGTTGGGTGCGCCAAGAGCCTGAGGTTTCCCCCACTTTTTTTTCTGTGAGGTAGGGCTTGAAACAGTGTGTCAGGTGCGGAAGAATCGGTGAAAGTGATGGGGTGGTAGAGGAAGAGATGGTGGTGCTGATAGTAGTGATGAACGAGGAGATGAGATGTTGTACCGCCATAGCCAATAATGAGGCAGTATGATTTTGGTTTTAGTTGCCACCAGTATGGCCATCATGATGATCTTTTCACCACGTCAGAGAATATATCAATTAATTGGCAAGCCTTAATAAGTTCTTAGCACCGCACTTCTCACCGTAAACTGTCCACCCAAACTTTCGAGTTTTTTCTTTGATTAGAAATTCCACCATGGGATGTACAACAACTTGGCGAATTACAAATATTTCGCAAGGAGACTAGAAACCCGTCTTATAAATCATTGACCCCATCTTCACGAAAGCACAGACACAAAACCAAAGCTCTCATCTTATGTAATAGAAATAAAAGTCCCCCCTCCGTGCTGAAACAAAGGTAAACCACAAAGCTTAAACTCTTTACGTTTTCCAGGGACCATGTTTCATTCTTTCGTTCTCCCTTTTACTCTCTCGTACATAACAGATCAAACCAAGAATATGTAGCTTCGAACTGACATCTTTGATCACTCCCTGGCGCCCATGATATGAAGCACGAGCCACAGAGGATTAGTGCAAGAATACTCAGATTCTTGAGCCTATAGACTCTAAAGTGACCAAGAATATTCTCAGCATTTTCTTATAATCCATGATACCGGGGCCTCCTAGTGTTCCTTGTGCAATGTCATGCTATATCCCTTTCTTCTGACTTTAGCTCCTTCGTCAAATGAAGAAACAGCAATGTATCCCACATGCTAAATCGGCCCAGACATCAAACCCTATTCAGATATAATCAGTGTTGACAACAGAGCAGCCGAGCCATCCTGAGTTAGTACTAGGACCGAATACGATCCACAGTCCGCCAGGCCCTGGTGAGCCTTTTTATTTTCCTGGGTGTTTGGTTGAAGAAAGGGGGAAGACGACGGGACGCTACTGTAGAGTTTGGGGCCTCGCAGGGTCGCCAGGGAAGTTTTGTTGGGCTTGGGTTAATATGAGACCGGTAGGTAAGACCTGTGAGGCTTGTCCATGAACCGGATTTTGTGTTAGCCATCTATATGTATGATGGTCCACTAGTTTTCCATGTATTTATTGACGAAGCACTAGTAGATAATTTCTCATGGTATTGAAGGTAGGGAATAATTTTGATCCGGGCCGGATCATGTAAAAAAGCACACATGATTTTTAGCTCAACCCAAACTAACATATATACTACCATCGCCTAGATACCAGAGAAACAACATTGGAAAAGTTGAGAGGTGAGTAAAAGAATACCCACACATGCATAACGTACTACTAGCTCCTAATGTCAAGTTATTAGGACCACAAATGTCCCACCTTGCCGGCCAATTACACCCTACTAAAACCCACCACCACCCAAGTTAGGGGGGCCGTATGGGCTGCAAAAAGTAGTTCCGTCCGGTCCGATCTGCTCTGGTCTTCTCGGGACTCCCCCGCGGGGCGTGGAGGAGCCCAAGACTGCCAGGATCCTGGGACCACCGATAACACCAAATGACTTTAGAAAGCCCCGAGTCATTGAGCAAAGTCAAAAAGAAAAAAAATACACCCCTTGATATCTTGTGTACTATCTGCCCAGCCCGTAACCTAATCCGGCAACAGCTATTGGACTCTCAGGACTGAAAGCATCTATATAGTCAAATAGCTACCCATAGGGCGATCCTCTCCTGTTCCGCTGTGACTGCGACCCCGTTTGCCCAAGACACGATGAAACTGTTTGTTCGGCCCTGCTAGAAGTACAGAGAACTTGTGAGGTGATGTGAGCCTCTCCTGCACGCTTGGATCTACATACTGCGGTCCATCTTACTGTCGAAACAGCAACTGAATAGGAGAACCAAATCTCTCACGAACAAGCACACCAAAATCGATAGCTCAAGAATAGACAACATTGGCACTTCCCTAGCCATTCACGCTTGGAAGCTCTTTTCATCCTCTGGTAATTCACTTTCGCTCTAGCCAGCTTGCGGGGCCGCCGATAAGGAACAGAGCCAACTTACATTTCAGTTACTAGCAAGCGGCTTTCGAGCCCAATTATAGTAGGCTTCCAGCACCCCGGATGGAACAGCTCACACCAGACCATATACAGTGTGTTACTGGCACTCTAGCTTTTAAGCACACTTTATGCATGATTTACTGCATAAGTTCCATGTCTGACTTAACATTGGCCACGAACTCACAGCCACAAGTATGAGATAGGTCATAACTAAGAGCACTCTTAAGTGCTAGCAAAAAAAAAAAATACCCCAAAAAAACCTGACCCCCCATGGAAACCTTTATGAGATCGGGAGAAATTAAAATTCGCACTTTCACTTCACCCTCCAACAAAGCGCGCAAAGAAAGACTGCACTTTCTACAGCTGCAGCGCCTGTTTCACTTGGCCGAAAGCCCATTTGTAGACACCTCAAGCTCTGTCAGCTATTTTTACCTACCATCTCTCTCACAGGCTATACTTTCCCAACTGCACTTCCGTGCAAGCTGTTGGTCAGACATTGGAAAATGAAAAAGCAGGTAAAAGGCCGATGACAGCCAGGCAGCTATTAGCTCAGCAGGAATGGTATATCAACATTGTGAATCGTGAATGAGTGCGAACGGTTGCGAATCGGCTATATTCCTCCTTCTAGCGCCCAAACACCCGGACAATATGCGGTGTCTTACCGTGGGAAAGAAATCAGTATAATGCATCACAAACGATCGCTCGCCTTATCCTCTGCCAACTTTCCAGTTCTCTAGCAACTCTATGTTATTAACCGGAAGATATCCAGTACAGTTTACAGTTTTCTTATATCCGAAGCTCCGTGCACACCTCATCCTATGATACCTTTATACTAGTCATGTGCCTATGCACTTTCCAGTAGACACTGTACTGGAATCTTCTTGAGTTGCATTAATGACAATTAAGAAAAAACCTAAGGATCTGTAGAATCATGGTAATAACTGTGCTTTTTGGTAGCCCACTATTCTTGATCTGAAGTTGAAAGTTAACAGGATGACAGTCATAAGAGGGCATTTCTTCTAAGCTTTCATAGAGTATTATAGACTGCTCTCAGATAGCAAATAACCTTTCTAGTATCAGTTTTTAATGTCCTTCTTGCCTTCTAATGTTTCTATTGGCTGCTCAGCTATTAACAATCATTTTTAGAAACTTCTTCTTGCCTTTAAGTTAACTCATTAGGGTTTCAAGCTATTTTTCTCACCTGGAGTTATATTTAATCCTCTTGCACCTCTCATTTGTAGTATTCTAAATGCCTTGACTTAATTCAAATTAGCTTACTAATAATACATCATAATATGTAAGATCAAATAGGTATATTCCAGTGATATGCTGGCTGGTATACATACTTGAATCTCTTAGAAGAATTGAACTTAGTTTCTTCCTTTTTCTCATCCTATAATTTGAATAAAATTTCTGTAATTTTTTCAAGAAATGTATTTGTCATCTATATACTGTGACAATTGTGAAAGTATAAGCTAAGAATCTCAGCAGACAGTTTCAGAAAATCAGCATTCTTCAAATATGCATGATTTTGATTACCAAGAATCTTATTAGCCAGATCTCTCTCCATATTAACAAGAAATAATATATGAGTGCAGGTATCCTCATAAAAGAATATTTCTATCTCAAGTGTTTTATTA